ATTCATATATTTGAAGTCGTAATTCACTAATTTGTCTTCTCAAATCAGATTTCGGTAAGTCGAATGATATTTCGATTTGACGCATATTAACGGCATGTTCTTGATGAATATAATATGCACATTATCGGTGTAAAATCTCCTACAGACAGATCATGGGATTGTCAACTAAGCAAAGTACTAACTAGCTAGCATCTTTGCTATGTTAGTCACTGCCTTGCCATTTGAGACGAATGTGTTGAGTCGCCTCTCCCATTTACTTGCATGAGGCAATATATATTCCATTATGAAATACAATAATTTTTCGTATTTTCTCCGAGACGACACATCCATCACCAGCCATGTCACATCACTACCCCAAGGCATCCAAGAAGGACTCGACCTTTAGCCACCCCATGTGGCCCTCCTTGAGTGTGAAGAGGTTGAGGTTCGACCTCTTGATGCCTCGAGCAAGTTGTAATCTCTATTGTCTCAAGCTACGTGTGATATGATTGATGTGATATCTGTGCAAAAGTGACTTGTAGTCACGTCCATACCGATTCATTTAAGAAAGGACGTGAGAGGTCACGAACCTGTGATGGCGACTATATAAACCATTGAGCTTGACATGTGAACCATTGAGTTGATGCAATGTGTCAAGCATCAATAGGTCTCGTTACGTCTCTTTAACCTATAAATACTCGTACTTTATGCCATTTGACGGTAAACTTGAATTGAATCTTGAACCTTTCACCTATTCAATCTAGATTTGATTCCCGTATTTTTTGTCTTTTCATACACTCAATTTTCTGTCCGTTTATTTGACTAGAGTATCGAAGTGCATACGATCGTCGTACAAATATTGGATTAATGCTTTGTGCGTATTTTTCCAAGCATAGACGGTTGGAGAGAAGGGTTGGCATGGGCTATAGCCCAGCCCAGAAACAAATTGGCTTCTATAAAAACGAAAAACTTAGCCCAAATTTGGGGTGAAAATAAAAAAGAATAAAAATTTAGCCTAGTCCAAAAATTAATTTTAACCCAACTAACTTCATTTCCAACTCAAACCCAAATTTAGTTTAAGACTCTATAACAATTACATATTTATTTTATTCATATTCATGATACACAAATAACTCATTATCGAATTAGATATTATATTTTACACACATATCTTCTATATATAAAAAG